GACCTCCATTATTTGAATGTCAGCAGACAGCAAGAAGCCTCCCAGATCTCCAGATGCATTTGAGATATCAAAAAAGTACTCCAGAGTGTTGTTCAGCATGGGGGTGAGTAGAAAATGAAGGCTAATCATGTTTTGGGTGTACTATTCCTTTAATTTAAGACATTCTTCGTCATTTTTTGATCGTTTTTGCAACGTAAGAGAAAATAAACGCCAAAGGAAAGATAATGATTGTGTGACGTTTTGATGGGAGCCCTCAATCAAAGTCCACTTCATCCTGGGTGGGATATGGCGTCAGAGAATTAAACGCATCCTTCTAATGAAGTTACAGAGGGTGGTAGTTGGCCATTAGTGGCTTACACACAGTGACACATGGATCCAGCCCGCAAAAAAGCAACGTGGGTGCAGGCGCGTCCATGCGCCCACGTGAGTCGATCCAGTGGGGTATGAAGCTCCGAGGTTGCATAAGCACCATCCCGACTGTATTTTTGTTTGGAAATATTGTTAGTAGCTGTATGTCCTGATATTTACACATGTTGGAGGGGATGTATCCCTCCAGAATTCCCAAACATTTCCCCTTCTCAGTGAATCAGTGTTTTTTTTCTCGTGGAGATCAATCAGCGCGCAATATTAGAAGCTGAATGAAGTTGTTTGGTTAAGGTGAGTGAGTACAATCTCCCTCACGCCGTGATTCACACACCGAGCATGCAGACGGTGACTGTAGCAGCGGAGACTTCTGACGTCAGACCGGGAGAGTGACACGCGCATCCAATAAGGGGCCGAGGATGTGCAGCGCGAGGACGGAGCTCGTCGAGAGAAGGCTAATAACCATGCCAACTGGAGGATATAGCGCGCGCCGCTGACTGGCGGGGTCCAAAAAGAAAAAAAAAAAAAGGAGACAGGGGAGGGAAACCCTGGAAGAAGACACAACCGGCTCTTAGAGGAGGAGAAAGGGGCTTCAAAGGCATCCCGGTTCCTTCAAAGGGGACGAAAAAGACGAGGAGCTGGTAATTTATATTTTAATTTCCTATATATGTGGCATGTTTTCCCATTTATTCCCACTTTTAATCCAACATCCCCCCCCACCTGCATAACCTCCCCCTCTCATCCTCCCCCCCTTGCTGGCTCAGGGACCGCACTGCTGCAGCTGAGTGAAGCGGATCAAGGTAGCCCTTTTTTTTTTCTTTCTCCCCCCCTCTGACTCTCAGAGCGGGCTTTTTATGCTGCACCGGTGCATGCGGATGAACCCCGCAACCGTTACCGCAGGGAATGGACCGGCCACCATGGAGAGCTGCAGGGTGTGCGGCGGCGGTGACCTTCCCTTGGCCGCTTTGCAGGCATTGATGTTGGCGGCGCGTGCACGTTCCCCGTGCGTGTATTTCTGCTCGTGAAAGAAGAGTTGTCAGGTGTGTGTGTGTGTGTGTGAAAGAAACTGAGATGGCGAGGAGGAGGGGTGTAAAGTGGGAAGTGCGCGTGAGGGATGATCAACTGCACCCCCTCCTCTCTTTTTTATGAATGAAACTCGACATTCGCGCTCGCTCTGGCGCTGCACTAAATTTAGCGCAGCTGCAGCATACGATGTGGATCACAATCCGGATTTAGAGCGCTCTTCTTTTTTATTTATTTAAAGGAAAACGCGCACACGCATCTTTGCGCGCTCGCGTCCACGCCGCTGGTGAATTAAACAGCAGCGCTGCGCCGTGCCCCGGGACGTCATGCACCATTTTTGGAGATGCTCTAAAAATAGAATAAGGGGAAGATGGTTCAGACTGTAAGAAAAACTAGAATCTTGGACTCTGTTCCGCTTCTGAAAGGTAAGGATGCGGTGCGCTCAGGCTCTGGATGGCGCAAACTGGAGGGGTTTAATTGTGTTGCATGTGTCATGTTGCCTTCAAGCTAAAATGGAAGGAATACCTCCATCCCATGAGTGAAAGTGTGTGTGAGTCTGTCCACACATGCTCTTGTTGTGGTATCAAAAAAAAACAACACCGAAAAAAACCATCAGGAGTGTGAGTGGGCGGCTGCACAACGTGGGTGCTTAAGGGTCAAGTAGATGCTTGCTTTCATGAATGAACGTTTGGGTGGATAGAAATGACTATCTTGTTTATCTGTTTATTAGCAGTGTAGCCATCCTGCTCATGAGCTGAGATTACAGGATACATGGTATTAAATTCATGACAATCATATGAGTTCTAGCTTTATTTCTTGGCAATTAGACAATCCTTTTTTTTGTTTTTCAAAATAAAATCAATGTTTAAACAAACTTTATTCTCTATATTGTTATCCAGGCCATACACATAGTGTTAAATGAATATCTAACTCTAACATTATCTAAGACCGAAGCTACAAAAATAATGCAATATGTTTCAACGTTTGTTATTTTTTGTTAAGAAACAGAAAAAAAGGTTCTGAAGCTTTTTTAGTTTAGCCTAAAAACGATTTGATTATTTAACGTATTGTGAATTTTGAGCTTGAAAGAATCAAATTCATAATCATAATAAAAAGAGGTGTAGCCATTTAGGAGAAAGCAACATGAAGCTATGAAGTTGTGGCTAAAGCCGGGCATAAACTGTACGATTTTTTTGCCCTTTTCGAGCCGATTCTCCAGTCGTGCGAGAACTTTTCGATCGGGCCGAGTTTCAGCCTCGCTGTGCATTGTGCGTCATGTAGTATACAGGGGGTCACGAGGGGCGATTAGCCTCTCACGAGCACCTCGCGATCAGCAATTGTAAGCTCAGGAGAGAATCAAACAGGTTTGAAATTCAGTCGGCCGTCGTAAGATCGCATTAGTGAGTCATGAACTATTAAAGGAAAATTCCGGTTTTTAACACTTTTAGCCCATTTTCTGTAGTGTCCAGGATGAAATCGAATGATCGACACCAAAATTTTGACGATTGGTCCTGTCTCTGCTATTTGGCTCATGCAGAATCCCCCCCTGGCTGCTTCAGAATGGCTTCCATAGTGCATGTCCGATAATGTCCTTAAAACAACCTTAAACGTTCTTTTTTTAAAATATGCTACTCACCGGGTCGTCAGCGCTGTTCAATGACGTTCCAAAAAAAGTTTCGTAAAGAAAAACCGTTCCTGTCTTGTTTTATTTAGCATTTTGTAAATCCCAGAACTATTTTTTCCGATACATCACAACCGCTTATAAACTTCCGCTTCCCGTTCGAATCTGAAGTGTTGCACACTCCAGACCACTTGTTGGCGACGGTATCCTCTACCGTCAAACTCAAAGTCCAATATGTCCTCCTCAAGAATCCACCTTTCGTATTCCATTTTCAGAGTTTTTTAAAGTGTTTAACAGAGACGTTAGCACCTCGACGTCGGAGTACACAGAGTGAAGCATAAACACTTGGGCCTTGCGAAAAGACTACAACTAAGCGTAAACAGGCCCCATTTCCGTTTCCGGTGGCGGAGGGATATTGACTATTCCAACAGAACTCAATGGGATTTACAAAATGCTAAATAAAACACTACAGGAACGGTTTTTCTTTACGAAACTTTTTTTGGAACGTCATTGAACAGCGCTGACGACCCGGTGAGTAGCATATTTAAAAAAAAGAACGTTTAAGGTTGTTTTAAGGACATTATCGGACATGCACTATGGAAGCCATTCTAAAGCAGCCAGGGGGGGATTCTGCATGAGCCAAATAGCAGAGACAGGACCAATTGTCAAAATTTTGGTGTCGATCATTCGATTTCATCCTGGACACTACAGAAACTGGGCTAAAAGTGTTAAAAACCGGAATTTTCCTTTAAACCCTGCGGTTTCATCATACAGTTTGAGCTGTAGCTGCGTGCAATGATTGGAAATATCTCACAGTGTATGCCCGGCTTAACAAATGTCAGTGTTAGCCACAATTTGGTAACGATGCCAGCATAGCTAGCATAGTGTGTCATTGCAGTGTTTTACAGATCTTTGTGTAAGCCTTTAGCCAAGTATGTAAAATCATGCCACACAAGCCATTTAGAAGGCTTCATCTGTGCAAGATGAAAATGGAAGAACTTTCCTTAGAACAAGATCACCAGAAATAAGCTTATAAAAAATACATGTCATAAACATGCAAAGATGACCACTTTCTTATCCACATCTTGCAAATTCATAAATCTTTAAATGCATGGAGAGTGATACAGCTTAAGTCAGCTTTCAAAATTGTCATTATTGCCGAACCAAAGGTACCTGGAAATGAAAATCAGCAGGTTTAGCTTAGAGCATTGCAAACAAAATGAGTGTTGGGCATTGACAATTCTAAAGAGTTAAACACAAAATGCCGCTGCTAGAGAAGGAGTTCACAAAGCAGGTTTAACAAATTCCAAAAAAAGAAAATTAAAAACAATCCACTGGACTTTGTTTCCAAGTTTGAAGCCATTTCGCTTTCCAACTTTTTTCCCCAACTTTTTTCAATTCAAAATGTGAGGAATAGTGTTGAGTTTGAGGTTTTATGCTGTAGCCCATCAAACCTTTGTTTTTGTTTTGAAAAGATGCAAACTGAAATAGACTTTAGGTCATTTGGCCCTCCAAAGAGGTGGACTCGTTCGTCCGTTTCAATTTGCATGTTTTCAAAACAAAAACAAGGTTTTGATGGGCTACTCTATAAAACCTCGAACTCAACACTATTCTTGATATTTTGAATTGAAAAGCTTCCTTGATGGGAAGCAAAACATCTTCAAACTTAAAAACAAAGTCCAGTGGAGAGTTTTTAATTTTCTTTTTTTTTTGGAATGCCTATGATCTGGATAACAGAATATTTACCAGCAAGTTTAACAAAGTTAGACTCAAATCCTCAACTCTGAATGGATCTAGTCTGAGGTTGGAAACTATGAGTTTTTGGTTTCACAATGGCTGCTGTGAGTTAGTTTGATCAACGCTGAGTAGGTTCACTCAGAGTCAAGCAAATGCGTAATGAAAACATATCAACGGTGGAGCCCCTATCTGACAAGTCACCATAACAACAGGCAAGAAGAAGTGCCTTGGAAATGTACATTTCAATCCAGAAATGGAAAGAAAATGGAGAATATAGCGCCCCTTTGCTGCACTATAACTGCAAAGGAGAGTGAGATGGTGTAGGAAAAGATTGCTGCCTGAGTTAATGTAAGTTTCTTTCTCTGTTGTTCTATTTGTAGATCACTAAAATTGTATTCTTTCTGGTGAAAATAGCATTCCAAGTTGGAACTGTAACAATGCAGTAGATTTTCTAAATTACCTATTTGTCAGCAAAAACTGAATTTCAGAAAGTGGAAAAGAAATGGTATTAGTAAGAATTGAGTTTATATATCTGGAAATATTAAGTGGCTGTTTTGACATTTATCAGCTTGACTCAATATGTATGTTTGACATCTAAAACATATTTCTTCCTAATCACAGTAATGGAAATTAGGATCAAATAACAATATGGATGTGGAGATCTTCCATTATACAGTGAATACTAAGTGGCTGTTTGCAGCCGATTCAGAGGTTATCATCCCATTAAATGTCCATTATTAGTGTTTATCAGTTCCATAGAATGGCTTTAGATTGCCCCTACTACCTACCAGGGCGCTCAGTAGTTATGACCAAATGAATCCTAATCCTAAGGTAATTCTCTTTTTGCTTATGGAATTAATTAACCTATTTATGTGCAATCTTAACAAAATTTTAGTTGTTCTTCATGTGTCATAAAACAATTTATCTGTATGATATTAAACAAACAAAAAAACAGAAATATCATATCCCGTCAGCTGAGTTACTTTACTCACCACATTAAATCCATGTGATGGAAAATGTGGAATTCATTCAAAGTAAAGCTTGAAAAAACAGTAAAAAAAAAAAAAAAAGGTTGTTTGTAAATAAGGTAGATAAAAAGGTTTGGAATTTTTTCATTTTTCAACCGATATTTCTCAGTCCAACAAATGGCAAAGGATGATATATTTGCAGTTGACTAGGACAAGCACATCCTCAAAGCGCGTCTTCTGCACCGCTGGTAATATTGATAACCATTTGCGGACACTGCTAAAACCCAATAAAGTAAACATGCTCAACATATTCTCATTATCAGTTCGTATGAAATCGTACGAAAAGTTATGCACACGTTTTGGACGTTTTTCCTCAAAAAACCGCGTCAGTGCGCATGCGCAGGCGGACAGACAAAAAAAGCAGATCCGCGGACGGACGTAAAACTGGGAAAAACAGTGCAATAATCACTTCTTCATGTCTCTAACTACGTTGCTTGCTGTTTTATATCTTAGGGTCAGGGTTAGGGCTAATTGTATTTTAAATTCTGTGTTCTTGAATATGTGTGTAAGATGCGCATGCGCATACGACGACAAAAACATCCAAAACGTACAAAATTACGGTGCATAACTTTTCGTACGATTTCATACGAACTCATAATGAGAATACACTGACATGCTTGTTTTCTTGTCAAATACGTATAAGTTTGGTCCAGTGGAAATTGTTTCCTCTCTTCCAGTTATTTTAACTATGTTATGAGAAATTATACTTTTTAGATTGTTATTCATTTGTTTATCTGCAAAAGATCTGCAAAGTCAGACTGAACTGGAGATTTTTTTTATGGAAAGTACACAGCTTCATTGTAGGAGAGAATTTTTCATTTTTATTGTTTTATTAAAATTAAATCTGTATTTAAACGTAAGACGAAAGAAAATCACTCTTAAAAATTATCATTGAAAGGCGGAGTCTATCGTCAATGGTCGATAGATTTGTCCAATTGCCCATCCTTAGTAGATAAAAAGTATAAAATAGATAAATAGTAGCAGATGTTCTGAATATTTCTGAATATTATCAGCCATAAGAAACCTACTAGAAGGTATAGAAGGCACCGTCTGAAGCCATTCTATGGGACTGGAGCTGTTTGCTGACTGTGCAGCTGTTTTCTATAATGCTGTTATCTCACATCAATGTGCTCTCACTGATATCAAGTTCTGTTAAATAGCTGTTAAAGACGTCTGTGTAATGCCAATGTGAGGGCGGATAAGGTCTGGATGTATGTGATGGATTGTGAGGTGAAAAAGTAGCTCCCTTAAAGATAACTTTCTGAAATATATAAGGTACAGCATGCGGTCCGATGACCCTCTCCTTCTAAATATTTAATTCTCTGCGAATGAATGCCGCTTGAGTTTATTCTCGTCAAAAGGACATGCTGTGTTTTTAACACCTATGGTGTCTAAAGGACGTAGTAAATGATTTTCTTTTTACTGTTTGCACGAAACTACAAGAAAACTCTCCTGTCTAAATGAGGGAATAAAACAATGTAATTGGATTTCAGGACTCAGGAGACAGACGACACTCTGAGTTTATTGGGAAACACTTGTTCCTGACTAGGTGAACTCTAGAGTGAATGTCACAGCTAAAACAGACAGAGGTTGAGTAAACTTTATTTGTGAAACAGAAAACTTAAATTTCAGGTGTAAGAAAGTTCTCAGTAAACCTAATTTGTGAAGTGGACCCCAGTTCTCTTTCTATGCTTTGGAAATTACGCATAGTGCAAAGATACTTTCTACTCTCATGTGCTTTTACCTTAATTCCTACTACATTTCATTGTAGTTCATGAGCATAAGAAGTGTTTGGTCTACTTCAACCCACCATGAAATCTCTGTCCTTTTGGAATATATGCAGATAGAAAATGCATCAATATCAGAATTCACTTTAGAAAAAAATGCCCTTTTAATGTTACACAGTCCATTGCCTTAAGATCTATTTTTACCTCTACTCTGCATAAAATGATACAACTAATAACATCTCTATTTGCCTTTCTTCATTTTTACCTTTATCTTTTTTAAACCCATGACCATTGAAACAAATATTTAATACATTTTACAAACTTACCAAATTCCTACTTTGCCTTTTAATTAACTTAAATATTCTTCTACCTCCCTTCTTTCCCTTTTCCTTCTTTTTCTTTCTTATCTCCAGCTATGGTTTTTTCCTTGGCTGCCGCCGCAGCAGCAGCCATGAGCAGTGGTGGTGGCAATGGCTTCAACTCTTCCACCCCCCTCGACTCTTTCGATTCCTCGACATCCTGGAACGTAAGTGAGGATCCCACTAATTCCTCTTCAGAACCCTTCTTGCGAACTTTGACTCCGGACCTTCAGCCAGGCACCACCTTCAACGCAGTGCAGGAAGTCAACCCTTGGGATATTGCTCTGTGTGTAACAGGGACGCTCATCTCCTGCGAGAATGCGTTAGTCATCGCAGTGCTGTTCTACACGCCGACGCTCCGTGCTCCCATGTTCATTCTGATTGGATCACTAGCTGTGTCAGACCTCCTAGCCGGTCTGGGCCTCATCTTAAACTTTGTTTTCACCTATTTGATAGATAACTCAGTAGAGTTGGTGACATTGCTGTCAGTTGGAATACTCATCTCAGCGTTTTCGGCATCAGTATTTAACATCCTCGCCATTACTGTTGATCGTTACCTGTCGCTGTACAATGCCCTGACCTATCACACTGAGCGGACAGTCACATTCACTTACATGATGGTGGTTTTTATCTGGGTGACATGTGTCACTCTAGGTCTGCTGCCAGTGCTGGGATGGAACTGTCTGAGGGACCCAACTACATGCAGCATCTGTTGGCCCGTCACCAAAAACAATGCGGTGGTGCTCGCCGTCACCTTCCTCCTTGTCTTCGCTCTTATGATGCAGCTCTACCTTCAGATTTGCAAAATCGCGTTCCGCCATGCTCAACAGATAGCGGTCCAGCACCAGTTCATGGCTATCTCCACCACCAAAGGGGTCTCCACATTGTCGGTCATCCTGTGTGCCTTCGGGGTGTGCTGGCTGCCATTCGCCATGTACTCCATTGTGGCTGACTCCAGCTACCCCGTGATATATACCTACGCCACGGTCCTTCCAGCCACATGCTGCTCCGTGATAAACCCCGTCATCTATGCTTTCCGGAACCCGGACATACAGAAGTCGCTATGGATGGCTTGCTGTGGCTGCGTCCCGTCCAACCTCTCCCTTAGACCCAGGACTTCCAGTGATGTGTAGCAAGAAAGATTTTGGTGTAGACTCATGCAAAATGAAGAACCACGGTAAAAGGATCAGAAGTTAGGGATGAAAATAGAAAGATGGCTTTGCTCTTCTCATCATATCAAGGCTGAAAGCTGATGACAAACGCTGAGCTGGCCACAGTTGAAGAGGCACTGACAGATGACTGAGAGGAGGCATGGTCAAAAAAAGAAGGAGCTAAGAAATACCATGTCCTGTTTGTAGCCTGGAAAACAACCAACAGCAGGAAGGGAAAAGCTGGAGACCAACTGCAAAATCCTGATTCAAGGTATCTTTTAAAGTTCTCTCTTTCTTTGGGTATGAGAGAAATGAGGCCTCTAATGAGTAGCATATGTGTGAAGGGGATTTTTGGGTGAAAAAAAATTGTACTAAATCTCCAGAGGATGCTCTGGATGGTTATGCAATCAGGAGGAATGCTTAAAATACTGTACGTGTCTTCACTCCTGTCTTTGAAATCTACTGCTGTGTGGATAAAAATACAATGAGCTAAATATACAAAATGAATGACTTTCAACATTCTCAATGAGCTATATTTATTGTGATCTCTTGATCATTTCGTAGGAATCTGCTCTAAATCAGCCATGTTCCCTTTATCAGAAGTAGTTGGAAAATTCAGAACTCAGCTTTAACATTTTACATCACTTAAAGCCCATATTTTCACCCAAAGCCAACATCCCAGCCTTCCATCTTAAACATTCTCCCAAAAACAATCTAACTGACTGATAAATGGGGGGAAAGTTTAGGGAGGAATTGCTAAATTTAGAGCTGGCATGTGTTGTCCTTGGCATCGTGACATAAAACCTGCTCTGCGTCTGAAGAAAAATAGGCTTCTCAGGCTGCTGCTGCTGGGTTGGGACTAGAAAAGCAAAGAGCTGATTTCAGCACCAAGGACAGCTCCACTGCAGAGCACAGCTACCCTGGGAAATACTCTCAGCTGTGGTGTGGGTGTGTGTTTGAGAGTATGGGGGGCGAGGGATAAAAAGTAGGCTATGCTGTTTTTTTATAGGCTCTTGATGGGGAATGGAAGACGGGACTTTAAGGACAAGTCCCATTCCATCTGGTTAGGTGGAACTGACAGAAAATATAGATGAAAATTCACAAAGCCCATACGTAGAACAGAGTTCTTGACATTGCAATGGAAAAAATTGTGGATTTTTTTTCTCTCTTTCAGACATAAACATCTAGGCTGTTATGTGATTCTTACTTTCATCAAGAAAATTTTTTTTTGTTGTATTTAAACAATAAACCCAAAGAAAACCAAGTAAAAAGACATTACTGTTGGGCAATTAATTGCATTTGCAATATAATTTTGATTTGACAAAAGGCACTTTTCAAATTGCAGAGGAACTCAGTTTTGGTAGCATTATATTTTAAAGTCACAAAATGTCTCCCTCCAGCCTTTTAGATGGGGGTAATACACTTAAAGTGTGTTTCAAACAGCAGTATTTAATTGCTTTAAATGTGCAAAGGCATATCTTATTTTTGTCATAAATTTATAAGCTGATTTAAGCTGGTAAACTAGAAGGAGCAGTGCTTGCAGTTGGCTGTATAACAGATATGCTGCTTGTAGCTTACCAGCATTAGTTTTTAAAGAGTGTCAAATTAGTCGAACTGATGTACGAGGCTTTAGTTTTAAACACGATAACTGTGGTTTAATGGACATTGTAAATATGTCAAAACAGCCAAAATATTGTTGTTAATAAAAAAAAAGAGAGGGCTTTCTTTCAGCTAGCTGATCAACAGTGTGCAGTGGGCCTTATAGGTTAGGGATAGAAAACAATTCTTTATTCTATGCTCCAGTTGGCTGGATGACCACTGCTGCTAGGGTGCTTTCTCTAATTGAAAGTATCAAATGACTACATAATATAGTGGTTTTGAATCGGCAACTTTTTAAAATGTCTAGGACAACTGCTTGATGCCTAAAGGGGAATCTTCAGTCTACCGAGGCCCCATTCAACCGTTTACTCAAAGCAGCTCTGAAGTTCAACACATCAGATAGCTTTGGTCTGTGCTGCTGTATGGCTTCCATTTCAATTCCCCTGCTTGCAGACTGTCAGCAGTAGCTGGACTTGTTCTCTCCCCGCCTTAAAGAAGCTGTGCAGCTCTGCCCGGGAGCTCCTCTGAAGGATCGGCAGGTTAATGAGAAGCCAGAAAGGCGAGGTGACGTGGCGTGAAATAGAAACGCCAGGAAAGATGTACTTTAACGCAGCCTTTAGTCTCACACATACACACCATCTTCCACTGGGGTTAAAGGTATATTTCCCACTGAAAAAGAAAATCCATCTCATGTTATTAAAATCTCTCCACCAGCTAGATGATGTAGCTAGAGAAGGAGCTAAATAGGTGATTATTTTCAACCTTTTGTCTGCAGTAAAAGAATCTGCACAGTTTTTTTCTCTTGTGTTCATCTGCACAACCTCAGAGATGACTAAGCAACTGGCATCCTGCTAATATGCATGTGTGGGAGGTATGCTGGCTTTGGGAAAATCTATATGGGCTGTAGGTTCAATCTTAAACTTTAGAAAAAAAAAGCAGATTTTTAAATCAAAAACAGGGAGTTACTTTAAATGACCTGCTTTCTACCAAATATGTTGCAGCAGACTAAGGCAAAAATCATCACTTTGAAATGGCGCACAGAAGAAGCAGTTTCATTATTTTCTATGCTGTATATTAAAAGTAAAAAAACAAAACAAAAACAATTTTCTACATTTCTTGACAGGAAAAATACAATCAGTTGTTTTTGCAGCCGCTGTTGGCAAAACAACAGCTGCACAATTTTCTGTCGAAGTGAGGCTTTTTAAAGACAGTTTATTTCTATCTTCTTTTTTCTTTTGGCGGGGGGAGGGGGCTTTCCTTGGTTTTGGCCTTTTTTAGAACAAAATCTCCCTTGCAATAAAGTCCAGCCGCATTTTGCTGTGTACAAAAAGCCACAATTAAGAAGCAGAAACAAAGAAAAGGGTTAGTTGGAAACACAGTGGAACAAGGTAAAAAAATCTGGACAGGACAAATGTTTTATTGTTTTTTTTTTTCTCCGAATGCTTTATGGTAAATTCATAGAGATACATTTTTTTTGTCTATATTAAGCTAGTTGTTGTTAAATCTAGTAATTTTAAAACCCCTAAAAACTCAATTACCATATGAGGTTATCTCACCACTGAGAAAAAACACAGCTGTTGCTCTCTTTTGTTTGAACATTGTATTGACAGAACTGCCTAATGGTTAACCAGTAGCATCAATAATTAGGTGAAATACATTTAATTATCCTGAGGCTTGAAGAATGAGATGGATGTAGTTTGGTACTTAAGAATGTGGGGAATTAAAAGTGATCTATTTTACTTTAGAACTTGAAGCAGACATTTTCCTTCTAGGCATGTTTGACTTTAAGGTTTGCCTAAGCACTTGTTTTTGGAAATGCTAGATGGGACAATAAGGATGATCATAAAGTTAACTGTCAAGGTCTGTCTCTTTCTAAAAAAACGAACGAAATCAGATATCTAAATGCGTAAAAGAAACAGAATTCCCTAAAATTAGTTTGAATCTTTTTAGCCTCTTAAAGCAGATTTTAGTGTTTTTGTTGGTGGACTTAAATTTAGATTAGGCATTGAAATACCAGGATGAGAGATCTAGAATCTAACAATGATTCTAGCTATATGCTAATGCTAACTTAGCATAGCTTATTTTATTTTATTTTTTTACATTATACTCTTTCTGGATAAGAAATTATACTAAAAACATAAAGATAAGTTATGTTGATATTGAAAAGAGATCCATAAACAATTTCAATGTTCTACCTAGCTTAAATAAATGGAAAATATTGTTTTGAAAAATGTAGCCGCACGTTTTTTTTTTGTTTTTTAGTTTTTTAAGTGACCAGTTGGGAGAATTTCTCAATGTTTCTTTTTTCTTACATCAAGGATAAAACACATCTCAGAAGGATAAGTAAAACAATAATATTTGTTTGGATTCGTTATCCAGGCAGAAATAATTTTACTGAGATATTTTGTGCACAAAATCATGCTAGAAAAAATAGCATTTGGACTTCTTTATTATAGAAAAACTTTCCAATGTGAACAGAACACGTTATCAGTAAAACTACGAATCAAGAAACAAATGAATCTTTCACCTGAATCAAAGTGACTGATATAATTAGTTTAACACATTTATATACCTGTGAAAATATGCAAATATGCACCTTGATGACTTTTACACATATTTATGTTTTCTTGTCTTGATTTTAAAACAGTCTAGCTTGTCTTGGCAAAGATTTGTCTTTTATTCTTTATGTAAACAAACAATATAGACAATTTAATATTAGAGCTAAAGAAAAAAAGATTGTGTTATCTGCTTAAGGGGCTCCATATTTTACCTTTGGCCCTTATTTTAAAGATTTGTTCTGTTTTATCATATAGTATGGTACAGTTTGGTACCATGTGTCCTCCTATATATGGTTTTAAGAACAGGCTAAATTTGTACAATTGAGACACACTACACTGGATTACACTATCCAAAATGAAGAATTGATCCAACTGTGGTGGAAACCATGAAACAAACAAAGAAACCTCAAGCCAGCTGTTTGAGGTGCAACTTGACAAGTTAATTCAAACATTTCTCAGCTGAAGTGGCTGAGCCGCTAACAGGCTAAACAGTATTTTTTTGTTTTAAGATAATGTTTATGGTCCCATCTGGCACGTCCTCCAAGTGGTTGTTGGATCAGTTAAAAACACTCATCTGTGAATATGGCACTAACTCAACCATTCCTGGGGACGGGAGTGAAGCGACCACTCACTGTGTGTATGTGTGTGTGTTGGTGGTTGTGTCTGCTGTCCTATACGTTCTCTGAGAATCATAGCCAATTGTAAGGAACCATTACTCAACTGTCACTGTAAACACAAAAACTCGCTGAATGGTTTTGTCAGATGCTACACCTGACTATATTTTTTTTCTTTTAAGAAAGTGTTCAAGTGAGTATTTGTTATTTTTTCTTATGCAAGGCTGTATAGAAATGTATATTTTTGTAATGTTTATCATCAGGGCATGAGTTCAAAGATATGCTCGCTGCTGTAAGTGTGTGTGTATGTGAACTTTTCTTCCTCTTCTTATGTGTTATTCCTATTTATAAGTGTTTACTGTTTCTGTTTCGGGGGGGTTAAATATTCTGAAAAGTGCCATATTTTTTTGACTAGTGTCTTATTTTTGGTTTATGTACATACGTTTTCATTCAACGGTGATTCTTTTTGTAAAATCTGGAGTCATCGGAGTGTGAATCTGTGATAAAGAGCAACAACAAAATCTCAACAGATAGGCTGGAAAAGACATTAAAAAGAGGAAAAGGGTTATATTAAAAAATGAATGATTGATCATTAAACAGAACAAACTGAATTAAAACCTTATGTGCTGTGAAAAAAGTATTTGCCCCTTTATAGATTTCTTTTGTGTATTTTTAGAATAAATTTTTACATCACTCAAATGTAACATGATTAAAAACAAAATTCAAATTAGAACAATTTAAAATTATCCTAACTGAGCAATTGTGAAAACAAATTCAAAATTCAAATTCCAAACTTCCTAAGTCAATACGTAACTGTAATTAATCAAATTTTTAGCTTGATTTTTAGCTTCAGTTGCTACACCTAGGTTTGAATACTGCCAGTAGAATACCCCCCCTCCCCCCACACATATACACACATAAATAGCAGGAGCTTAACAATACATCGACCCAAATTTATACAGTTGCCAAACAATAAACTATCCAGTAACATCTATTAAAAATAAAACATTGATTCAAATTTTCATCTTTAAGAACGCATTTATTTTGAAATTCACAAGGCACCATACTATAGTGAAAAGGTGACCTACCGGTAATACTATTTTATAACTGTAAGAATAAAATGCCTGATGCCTGTCAGAGCTTAAAAACAAAATGCCAATTTGTTTTGTTTCTTTGAGAGTTGAATCATTTTATATGGACAGATGAATTGTGAATTTAACTGAATAAAAGTTTTATTGTGACAGGCAGTAATATCAGCAATCATGGTAACAAATCGATATCATATAGCAATAAAGTTAGTGATTTACACCATTAATGAGAAGAAATTGTGTGACAATGTGAAGTAGGGTAAACATTTCAATAACCAACTCAACATACCTGGATCTAAGGAGATTAAAAAACAAATGAGAAATAAAGTAAATTATATCTACAAGCCCTGAAAGGACTTGAG